TCTTTTAACTTGGATTCTTTTCTTCTTTTCGTAAAATTCCCACCAATAAAATCTTTATACAGAATTGCAGTTAATCAATGAACATGTTTTACAAAATTTAAATGATAGAAAATTTATTAAACTTTAAATATGATTTTATGAATATTTAAACTTTTAAGATATGATTTAATGAATGACAAACTAAGAAATTATCTTCTTTTACTTCTATGAGTCGGTGTCCTTTCAAGAAGTGGGTGAGAAACCGCCCTTCATTTATAACGCTTAAAAATGTTTATCCATTACCCGTAATAGCCAGCTACTACCTTTCGCCAACTATACCATCAAGATCGTCGGGTAGGTAGTTTGTTTACAGCTCCTGTCATTTTGCCTACGATATTTCCTGTCTGTGTGAAATTCTTCGAATGTCCTTCTTTATAATCTGTCCTATAAATTTCATGTCCCTTTTTGCTTCTAAATCTTTCTTTTTGTTCCATTTTCTCGAACACTTCTTCATCGCTTACCTGGTCCATCCATCCTATTCCCAGCATCCTACTGTAAAACCACATGTTTATTGCCTCGGGTCTTCTTTTAATCTGCGATGATTTCACTGTCATTTCAGTGGATTGCTATTACATAGGAGTTCAACACACCTTAATTTGTTTCTAATGATATTTACCTGTTTCTTAATACTTTGATTTGTCCTGAGTAAGACGATAAATTACATATGCATCCTGATAAGACAATAAACTACATCCGCGTCCTAGGTATGGTGATAAATTACTCCACACCGTTGCCCTTATGCGAGGATCGACAGGAAAGATCAAAGGCTGGCCAATACATAAATTGTAAAAGTTTATTGCTAGCAATGAAGTTTTGAAGAAAAACAGTATTACCAGCAATACATTTTTGAAAAAAAAAATATTCTTAGCAATAAAACCTTGCCGGCTTTAAATAACCCATTGAGGTTGATAAGCCGTAAAATAAACCAAACCAAACCAATGCTATGCTTAGATTTTTGAAATACATCATTTCTTCAAATGTCTTTTTAGATTTGGGAAACGCATCTTCCATCCTCTGACAAAAAAATTTCTAACTATTTAACGTTTTCCAGTTGGTTGATTTTGACATTTCCAATAGCTAAGTTCATATCTTTAGCTTTTCACTTGTTCAAAACCCTACATTCTCTTTTTTTCCAGTTGATTTTTAATACTTTCTTCTCTTTCAATGTTTAATACTCGTCAGAAAGTTTAGGGTCCATTAAAGGATTAACGAGCAGTGAACAAACAATAAAAAATAGACCTATATCTACACCGTCGCCCTTATGCGAGGATCGGCAGTAAAGATCAAAGGTTGGTCCAAACAGATGTCCCAACAGCTTTTGCATTCTGGTAGACTTGCATGTCTTTTAGTCAACGTAATGGTGTGTCTACTTCCATTTATATATCGGTCAGCCTATGAATTCTCCAGCCGACCCTCGTATTTGCAAAATTTCAGACGTCAATTAGAGTCAGATGAATATCTTAAAGATTATTGCTATGATCATACCGTTTCAACCATTGTGACAACCGGGCTTCATCAGGTGTAAATTATATTTACCGGCCTGAGTGTTCGAGAAAATTCGTAGAGAATATACGCTCTCTGGATCAATGACATTGCATTGGATTATATTAAGGATCTCTAAATATATAGCAAGACGATCAGACCATATATGGTTGCATTATTCAATGCATCGAGGAATAGCAGACTTATAATTTTAATATGTAAGACAGATTCAGACAGAAGTTTAGTACGATACAATGAAACATCTTTCATTGTAGCAGACCAGCAATTAATTAATTCAACATAATCTTCCCACTTGAAGCCAGCAGAAAACGTTAGCCCGAGAAAGCGCAATGAAATACTGTCTTGGAGGTTAGCATCAGGCATCCTGTTATATATATATATATATATATATATATATATATATATATATATATTATAACATCAATATGCTATAAAATCACTACAAATAGCCATTATGTTTCAACACATCTGGTGTCTTATGAACGATGATATTGAGTGTAGATTTTAGAATAAAAGGTTTTAAAAGGTTCAAATTAATTAATCACCCATCGTAAGGGGAAACGCTTGTAAATGAACAAACCAATACCCAAGGAAAATAAGGAATAAAAAAACTCTCAGAACATAATTCAGGCGAAAACAATCGCCCAGAAACCAAGTTCAGAGTTCAAAAAAAAAAAACTCCAACATGAGTAAAGCAAAAATAACTAAGCAAAGTGCTCAAGTGCTATAGAGGCAAATCTAACTATGAACCAAAATATTTAGATTCATAGTTATATTCATATATATATATATATATATATTATAACATCAATATGCTATAAAATCACTACAAATAGCCATTATGTTTCAACACATCTGGTGTCTTATGAAGCGATGATATTGAGTGTAGATTTTAGAATAAAGGTTTTAAAAGGTTCAAATTAATTAATCACCCATCGTAAGGGGAAACGCTTGTAAATGAACAAACCAATACCCAAGGAAAAATAAGGAATAAAAAAAACTCAGAACATGTAATTCAGGCGAAAACAATCGCCCAGAAACCAAGTTCAGAGTTCAAAGAAAAAAAAAACTCCAACATGAGTAAAGCAAAAATAACTAAGCAAAGTGCTCAAGTGCTAAGTAGAGCAAATCTAACTATGAACCAAAATATTTAGATTCATAGTTATATTCATATATATATATATATATATATATATATATATATATTATAACATCAATATGCTATAAAATCACTACAAATAGCCATTATTTTTCAACACATCTGGTGTCTTATGAAGCGATGATGTTGAGTGTAGATTTTAGAATAAAAAGGTTTTAAAAGGTTCAAATTAATTAATCACGCATCGTAAGGGGAAACGCTTGTAAATGAACAAACCAATACCCAAGTAAAAATAAGGAATAAAAAAAAAACTCAGAACATGTAATTCAAGCAAAAAACAATCGCCCAGAAACCAAGTTCAGAGTTCAAAAAAAAAACCTCCAACATGAGTAAAGCAAAAATAATAAGCAAAAAGTGCTCAAGTGCTAATAGAGCAAATCTAACTATGAACCAAAATATTTAGATTCATAGTTATATATATATATATATATATATATATATATATATATATATATATATATATATATATATATTTATATCATTTTACTATTTCTTAATGTCGATTGTCTTATATATATATATATATATATATATATATATATATATATATATATATTGATTTCTTTTATCACTGGTGTAATTCGTGGATCCATGGGTGAAAGTACACTTTTAGGTATAAGAGTGGAAAACTTGTCACCACTGTTATGTAGGTCAGTAAATATTTTTTATTGATTCTTTTGTTCTACTAAAGATAACTTTTATATCAGGTGAATAGACCAAGTGAAACATTTTACCGTTGACGCAGAAGTTTATTTACAGGAATGTGAAAGAGACAATTCAAAAAAAATAAATAAATAAAAGAAAGAAATAAAACTGCCTTGTCACGACATCCATATCAGCTATAATGCATTGTTCGATTTTATTTATTTTTTTTTTTTACATACATTGCATTAGAATTATTTCGATGTGCAGGTTGTGCAACGGTTATTAGTGCGAAAACTGGAATCAGCGAAACGGTTTCAAATTCCGGCATATACTAGTGGATTCATTATTTACACTGTTCGGACTGCTGTCCTCATTTTTGATGTCATATTCGCGACGTTTCAGTCTTCTTCAGATTATTGAAATTTCGAACTAAACACTGCATTGTTCTAGTTCTGCGTTCCATGCCTCTTCCTGACGTCGTGAACATTGCAACAAAAACAAGACAGCATCCGAACTATATAAATAATATCAATAATTACAATATTTCATCTCAGAAATATCGACAGATACTGCGTTCACGTTGCCGCTATTTATATTTAAAAGCTATTCATCTATTTATTCATCATAGAGTTTAATATCAAGGCAGCTGACCGTTCTAGCTTTGCGTGGAAACGAGTCTGATAGAAGAATGAGGTATAAATTTCAGTATATAACTTTTTAATTATTGCTTTTCGATTTGTATAAACTTCACACTTTAGATGCAGTGAGTGAGCAGGTGGTGCAGTGAATAGCGACCCTGAATGATAAATCGGGGAGCTGAGTTCGAATTCCAGTACTTTATATTTACATACGTATAAAAATCCTTAGGAAACGTATGAATCCATCTTTTCTTACCAGAATTATGGTTTTAATAGCAGTGCAGACTGGTTTCTTTAATCCTGTTTGGCATATTTCCTGTAGCAGGGAGCGCTGAATTCAAAATCGTAATGCCCAACTTAGGTGTGGCTCTTTGCGAAGGCATCGCATCGGTAAGCTAACCCGGCCAGGAATATCATGAAGACTTCTGCATGTTGGATGTGATCAATGGCAGAATCTAAGAGGAGAGGTTTACTATTGAACTGCAATGGTGTCAGCCAAAAGATCCTTTCTAATTGACAATAGACGAGACCTAATTATACTTATGTAAATAAAAACTGTTTAAGCGCTTTGTCTTTCTTAATATATTGTGCAAACGAAATCCCCTATATGCATTATTTACATTATTCGGACTATTGTCCTCATCTTTGTCGCCATATTTATTACAACGTTTCGGCCGTTGTACGCTCCGACTTTCTTCAAGTGGATGGAATGACGAACTGAACCATTTCTTTCGCTCACTGGGGTAGACTGTTCTAGTTCCACGTGCCATAGATGTCAGTTATCAGTTATCTGCTGTTAATTCCCCTCTCCAAGTACTCCACTGCCTTAACCGGGTAGTGAACTCACACTCTTTGGGTCCTGTCACTGGATCTAATTAACGTCTTTATCCACTGTGCCATGTGTCATCAATGTACATAATACCTCATCTCAGAAATATAGACAGATACTGAAATCCCCTATGATGATAAATGTTAATTGAATTTCCTGTCTCCAAATACTCATTATTTATCTATCTATGACGTTTTCCTTCTTTCTTTCTTTCTTTCTTTCTTTCTTTTTTATCGCTTCCTTCCTTCCTTCCTTTCTCACTTTCTTTCTTCATTTCTTTCTTCCATCCTTCCCTTCTTTCTTCCTTTCTTTCTTCCTTTCTTTATCTTTTCTTGCGTCCTTTCTTCATTTCTTTCTCTCTTTCTTTTTCTTTCTTTCTTTCTTTCTTTTTCTTTCTTTCTTTTTCTCTTTCTTTCTCGCTTTCCTTCCTTCCTTCCTTCGTTTATGTTTGTTTCTTTCTTTCTTTCTTTTTTCTCGTTTCCTTCCTTCCTTCTTTCCTTCCTTTCTCACTTCATTTTTTTCATTCATTTCGTTTTTCTTCATTTCTTTCATTCTTTCCTTCTTTTTTTCTTTCTTCTTTCCTTCCTTTCTTTCTTTCTTTTTATCCTTCTTTCTTTCTTTTTTTCTTTCTCTCTTAGTCTTATTTTCTTTCTTTGTTATCTTCTGCATCCATACTTATCTTTTGATGGAAAGGATCTGAAACCATAAGTTCTTTTTTTCACATAATCTTCTTTCCTTTCTTCTAGTTGTTATTCTATTTTTCCTTCCTTTCTTATTTTTTCTTCTTTTTTCTTTCTTTAGTTCTTTTTATATTCCCTTCTCTTCACTGTTTCATTCTTTCTTTTTTTCGTTTCCCTATCTTCGTTTGCCTATCTATCTAGTCTTTTTTCCTTTCTTCATATGTTATTTTCTTTCTTTGTCGCTTTCTTTGTTTCTTTCTTTCTCGCTTTCTTTCTTTCTCGCGTTATTTCCTTCTCTGTTTGTTTGTTTCTTTCTTTCTTTCTCGTTTTCTTTCTTTCTCGCTTTCTTTATTTCTTCATCGCTTTCTTTCATTCATTCATTCATTTTTTCTATTCATTTATTCTTCTTTCTTTATTGTCCTCTTACTCCATATTTCTCTTTTAAAAGGAAATGATGTCCAACCTTAAGTTCCCCTTTCCAATAATCTTCTTCGTCTCGCTTTGATTTTCCTTTGTCATATATCCAATGAATGCATCAGCGTCAACATTTCTTCTATTCCGCCGACGCCACCTGCAATCCGAAATAACATTTGAGAAAATCTAAATTATGAAATATCAACGGCCTCTCAGTTAAAAAATTAGCACGTATCAAAAGTACTTTCGTTTTTTATCGATCGTTGTATGGAGGACAATGACCGAATTAGATTAGAATCAGATTTATGGCATTAAACATAGACCGAAATTACAAACAGGCCGAAATCACTTTAAGAATTTTTTTTTTTAAAGTGCCACACTTCTGTGGGATAAGATAAAAATATAAAGTGAATTATATATTATGATATATGGAAACTCGCCATCAGCAACAACACCTCGCTGTCGAAATCAAAACTGTACCAGATCAATTTTTTTCATATAAATGCTCATAGAGAACTCTAACGGAAATAAATAATTTCTCGGACACTCTTCCACACGTCTGTTTAAGACTGATAACCCTACACTTCTGTAACAAGTAAGAAGGGACAGATTTACACTACATGGAATCTTCATAACAACATACACAACATACATGTTGCAAACACAAATATGATATTAATATTCAACTAACTGCAAAAAATTTTAAAAATCAAGACAGCTCTTATAAGCTATGATAAATATCAGAACTCTTAATATTAAAACAACTTATTAGTCAATAAAAACATCACATCTTCCAAACCACACAAGTCGGTAGCCAGATAGATAGATAGATAGATAGATAGATAGATAGATAAAATTATACCCCCATGTCTTTTGAGTTCACTTGCTGAAAATTAAAGGGTTATTCTTTCAGTACAAGCTCGTTTCATGGTAATGATAATAGTAACAATTTCCTCATCAGGAAACACACACTATTCTTTGACCGAGCAGCCAGTCCATTATATTCGAAGAAAGATTATCTTTGCTAAGGCCTTCAGATTTTACTTGCTCAAAGGAATTTTGTTTCGAATGAATTACTATTTATTTATATGCCTGCTGTCCGCCATTATTTCTCGTTGCCTATTTAGTATCCGCCATGCCTTTCGAAAATTAATCAATCAATTGTCGAACAGAAATATTAATATTAAAACAACTTGACTAATAAAAGAAATCACATATTCCAATCCACACAGGTCGGTAGTCAGATATTTTGTCCGATAGATAAATAAAACTATGCCCCCACATCTTCTGAGTTCTCATGTTGAAAATTAAATGGTCATTCTTTCAGTATCAGCTCGTTTTATTGTAATGGTAATAGTAACCATTTCGCCATCAGGAAACACACCCTAATCATTGACCGAGAAGCCATTACTGCTGTCGGTAGAAATTTATAGAAATCTTTCTACTAAAAGAATTTTCAGGATAATCAATTTCTCAAGTGCAGTAACTGCCATCATTCTTTCATGGTAACTGCTCCGATGAGCTGCTTTTGCTGGTTCCCAGACTTTATGAATTTAAGCGTTCAACTTGGCTCGTATATCGCTCTCACCCTTTCACTGTCGAAACTGTTAAATGTAGCCGTCTCTTCTACTCCAATAGCTTCATGACTCGCACTTCTTGCCTGTGGAACTCCCTCCCTTTTTCTTGTTTCCCTGATAGCTATAATCTCCAACTATTTAAATGTAATGTCAATCGACGTCTCCAGATACACTGATCTATCCCCTAACCGTCTCTTTATCCTTTCCTCTATCACTCCTATTTGCTCTCGCTCCAACATTCTGTAACCCCTTGCGCGCTAGTGGCTTCTCGCCTTGCTTGAGTTTGAATGCTTAAAAAAAATAACACATTGAAGTTGATATACAGTAAAACAAAACGAATGAAACCAAACCATTACTGAAAGAATTAATAATCAAATTCTATTTTTTACACCATTTCAGAAATTTATTTATTTATTTATTTTTTTATTTCAATTTGTTTATTATTTTCACATATTTATTTATTTTTGTATTTAGAAGGTCGCAAAGACATGACATGAGAGCATGATGGCACCTCAGCGACTGCACGTCTAGCCAGTATCTTGAGCTGGCTCTGGTCATTATACTTTACAAAATTTTGAACTTTATTGGTATTTGTGATAGAAATAATTTGTAAAAAATATTAGAAAGAAGTAAATCTATATTTTTTAAGGTTTTATTAAAATTTTATTTAACTTTCCACATGTCCTCCATCATTACAAAAGGTAATACGATTTTGCAGTTCACGGAAAACATTTGCCAACTGATTTACAGTAATGCCTGTAATCGCAATAGTTATTTTAGCTATACTTAAAACTAGGTACATTAAACTTTGTAACATTTTTTTACAGATTATTCCTATCGCAAATACAAATAAAGTTATAATCTTCAAAGTGTACACGAACTTTATGGACACCCTGTATATAGCTAAACATATTCATCTACGTATATATAGCCTTAAAAAATGGACGAAGTGATATCAACCGTGATGTTTTTGTTTTTGATTAATACACTTGACTGAATATGCTGTAGAATGCGGAGAATATTTTAGAATCCCTGATTAGTATGAGAAAAAAAGCTATTTTATAACCAGTAGGAGGACTTGCCTGCACAACCCCTAATGCGAACAAGTGTATTGATCTTAAAGCTAATTAGGCGATTGTCTTCTCTCGTTCTGAAACAGAGAAAACGGTCGAAAAATCAATATTCTTATCAAAAGATTCGCAATATATCACACGACGAAGCACCTGTTGTTGTCAAAAATTACGCTACAAATACGATGTCTGGTTGAAAAGAGATCAAAGATCGTCGGGCCTCTGGTTGCACAGATGTGAAGTCACGTCAGACGACGTGCGCAAATCGACAAGAGGCAAAGAATGAGTTGTTCGCAAGATCGATTAAATAATCGATCAATCAACTGACAATTGATCATGATCGAGAGAGCAGGTGTTGGCCATCGGCTCAGATTTAATCTTGGTGTCAGACAATGACCATTGATAATCAAGGGATTTCTGAAATGAATGCCGGTGCGCATGTGCAGGAATACAATCACTACACACACACACACACACACACACACACTCACACACACACTAAACCACATATACAAATATATAGTAATTTAACGAATAATTGGAAAATATTTTCCATATATGGGTTAATATTAGATTATAATTATTGAGAACTATTTTGTTAATTGTATATATTTTCATGGTTCCATTTTAAACATTCATTCATTTTTTGAATCTGTGTGTGAGAGAGAGGGTGTAAGACGACATAAGAAATACTTTATTTTAGAAACGAGTTTCGGCCTTTGAGAACGCCATCAAAGGTATATGTCAAGATTTTAATTTGCATTAAAATCCTTACTTTTACCTTCGTAGTATATATATATATATATATATATATATATATATATATATATATATATATGAGAAAATATAATATATATATATATATATGTATATTGCTATAATACTGAATAAAATTTTTTTCTTTGGGAGATACCATCTGTAACACGTATGGTTCTTCGATTGCGGATCACTTTATAAAGAATCCCACTTGTGCGATGGATTTCAGTGTTAACTGGTTTTCCGTTTTGGCCAGTTCGCACTCATTATTCCATCTTAAGGTGGTGGAGACGCTTTACATCAGGTCCAGGCGACCTGCTCTTTGTAAACAAAGAGATTGTTTGCTTGGACTTGCTGTGTTGCGCTTCTAGCATCTTTGTTGGTATAATTTTTATAATATTTTTTTTCTCCCTGTCCACTCATTCATGTCATCTATGACAGACTTTTTCTTTTCCTTTTCTTCATAATTTTAGTTCCCCGTTAACAGTTCTAATGAGAGGAGACGAAACCGGTCGACTGGTGTGTGTTTTTGTTTTAAATCTATCATGGCCTACAATATAAAATTTCTTGCTTTTTATGCCTTAATACGCTTCTGTACTGCTTCAAAAATATATATATATATATATATATATATATATATATATATATATATATCACATAAATCTATTTAAACTCGGTGGGTAAAAACCCTGGACAGCACAGTTTTAAAACAATTTGTCATCCGCAGAAAAACATTTGGAAACTAAAAAAAAAAACAGAAACTTCCGAACAGGGCCAAAGAAATCGTACAGTACCTGTAACTGTAGGAATAAAAACACCTGCCCATTGAAGGGCAAGTGTCAACAAGAATCTATAAAGTTGTAATTAGTAGAAATAATTCAATCGCCATTAACGAGAATAATAAAGTGTACAATGGATCTACTGAAGGCAATTTTAAAAAGCGCTACTATAATCATATATCTAGTGACAGGACAGATAAGTATAGGTATAACACTAACTTATCTAAATAAGTTTGGAATATTAAACAGGAAGATAAAACGGATCCCATTCTATGATAGAAAATGGTAAAAAAAATGTAACTATAAACCAAGCAACAAGTACTGTATATTATGTATAGAGAAGCAGTTATCAATAGCTAACTTAAACGAACAATTAAACCAGAGGTCGCACATCTTTAATACATACAAGCTAAAAAAGTCTGGTTTTCAGAATTTTTTTTTTTTAGTCAAGGGTTTTATGTCCTTTTAAGGCTTATGCTAATCTTAGATTTTAACAGTAATATTATCAGAAAATCTGTTTCTCGCTTATTCCTCCTTACCCAGTTTACATGATGACCCATATTAGCATCTTTTTCATTAGGATGTATATATTTTATTTTATATTCGACTCTCCCGCAAGAACCGACAGCCCCAAAACGCATGTGATTTGATTATAGTGGTGAAGGCATTGTGCAAAAACATCCACACTTTTTCAAGAGCCGAATAGAGAGACCTGACGCACTATGTCCATAAACTAATCTCCGGTGGTTCTAAATTCAGAGTTTTTCTCCTAGACCAGTTACCATCCAAGGCTGTAGAATTCAGTCTGTCCTGGTACTTACCCATAGCGGGAGGGAGAAGAAAATGATT